CCGGTATTTGTCGAACGTTTAAATATCCGATTAAATGATACCAAAGGAGACCAAAAAGTAGAGGAGAACGCCATTGATGATCCGAGATTTTGGAGACGACCTATTAGAAGATGGCTAGACCTGGAAATTACATCCCATGGTGAACCGAGCATACTGACAGACGCTGACGTCATTATGTTGCGGAGTAAAATTCGAGTCCCCACGTCGGTACATCTATTTGCACCATATCCTGGAGAAAGGATTACATGTCCGCCGCCAGGGTGTGTTGGTGTATTTGCCGAAAGTTTGAGGTCGGGATTACGATTTCCTTTGCCGCGTATAATCACCGAATACTTACGAAATTGGGAATTCCTGCTGCGCCAAGTTGCTCCGAACTCATGGAAACGAATTATCGGATTGCTGGTACTTTTGGCTGAAAAGAAATGGGATTTACCATCGGCAAGGGACATGAGAAGCATGTTCACATTTTGGAAGAGTCCGGATAGACAAGTAACAGACCCACTTCTCACTTTCTCGATCGTCGGAAAACCTCAGTCAAGAGTTAAAGTCGGCGAGTTGATAACAGAAGTTCCTGACACACTACATGGGTTTCAGGAAGAATGGTTATGGGTCGGTGGAGCCTGGCAGTGTGCCGACTTCGCCAATGATCTTCTTGCCAATGGGACGAGTATCCCAATGGCTATTAAATCCGCTTACTGTAAGTTGCATTTTACTTCCTTTGTGTTTTAAGTATTAATGCTCTGTTTTGTTTTGTCTTCGCTAACAGGTGGACTTTTATGACATTGTAGCCAAACCGGAAGGAAAGAAATAACCCAAATTGAAGGTTTGTTGTACGACCGGGTTGACAAATTATTCGAACTTTCTGCGAACAAGCGAAGGTATCAACGACTTGTGAAGGATTCTCGGTTGGAGCTAGCTGGTTTATCCCCTGGGATCTTAGATTCTGTATTTCAGCCAGGTGGGTGTCTTGTTTCCTCTACTTTATATTTCATATCGATAATCTCAATCTTAAATCAGCAATCTCGATTTTAACTTGAAATGTCTTGTATAACAGTGTACTATCTGTTGTTGGGATATTTCGGTTTTGGAGATCCCGTCGAAGCAGAAGAACATCGGAGGCGCAATCCAAACTTGGATTTAAAAAACAAAGTCGGAAAAAGCAAAAGTCTTCGATCAACCGAGATGGCTGGACGTATGAATCTTCTCAAGGCGTCGAAAAAGAACCTCAACCGGTCTCAGAGTGTCGTCGGTGAGCCATTGTCGACAAGGGTGGAGCCTACACCGGCTATTGTAAGCGAGCCACCAGCCACCGATATCCCGCCGCTTGACGTCGCACCATTACAGCAAGTGATGACGCCGATGGGCGAACCTACTGTTGAAACCGAAGTCTCGCAAGAGGTATCGGAGGAACCCAACTTAGCTCTGGTTCATCGTCGCAAGAGGTCCAGCGTGTCACATGTAGCAGAAAGGATGAAAAAGAAACAGGACACC